TCTTTCCCTGGGCTCTGGCTCTTGTTTATCCAATATTGTCTACTGCAGCAAGAAATCTTCTCAGACTGCCAGATTGCTGTTTGGAGGGCTAATGTACTTTCAGATTTTTCTAGAAATGAACAATAATGCAACCTGGCAATATCTTTGCAAGACAACATACTTATGTTCTTAACATTTGGCACCCTAATCAGGAGATTTTGGATTACTTAGCCTTTCTCCAGAGACCTTATAGTCCTGCCCATTCTAAGGTGGATTACTTAGCCTTTCTCCAGAGACCTTACAGTCCTGCCCATTCTAAGGTATATATAGCTATTATATATGTCTAGAAAATAATACCGAGATGATTTTTGTTATATATGTCTAGAAAATAATACCGAGATAATTTTCAATTTTTAAAGAAATACAAAAATTTCCTTGGAAAAAAATAATCTTATTACATTGAAGAGCATGGTGAGTCATCCTTAATATATTTAGACCTCATCTTTCTCTCTCTGTATGAATGTGTGTTACTCCTATTCCTCTGCATTCATCTATGTTTGTATATATAGACAGATAGACATACTCTTCATCTGAAGATATGATAATCAGTTTCTTCAGTGACATATATTTATACCAGAGTGCAGTCCCTTGGGAAAATCCTGTTAGACATACTCTTCATCTGAAGATATGATCATCAGTTTCTTCAGTGACATATATTTAAACCAGAATGCAGTCCCTTGGGAAAATCCTATCCAGGTCATGTTCATCCTCACATATAAATACTCGTATCATGTTTTCTACTAAATGCATGTTCCTGCCAATTATGTTTGGAAGATCACGAGACGCAGGGGGCAGGGTTCCGACTTGAGCCACGGCATCTTGATACTGCTACTCTGAATGCAAAGTTGAAGATTTCTCTTGGTGGCAATAATCCCTGCTGCACACAGAGAAGGTCCATGGGCCTTAAGTCACTTCTAGAGTAGGAGATGTTTAGAAAAGGAGACGCATACCATCAGTATCCCCTGATCAAGACCTTAGTAACTGTGTGACTTACATTAGCCCTCACAAAATGTTTTATTTCTAACAGTCCTGTGGCATCCTAATTTACACAAACTCAGAGCAGTCTCCGCTAACTTTGGAAACTGGGAAGATCCTCCCACCGCACACTTGTGTGATATAGTAATTTGAATGCCGGGATTCAGGCTCTGTTAGACAGTAGGGGAGGTGAATTCCTGATCTGAGGAACCATCTGTGCATACGTCCTGGCCTAAGTCCCAAAGGTTCAATAGAAGGAATTTGTCATGCGAGGAGGAAGAGCCAGGGGGAACGTACACTGCACTTAACTGACTCAATCAGCACAGTGGTTGTGATCCCTCATTGCTTCCTGCTTCTGGAGTCATTTGTACCTGTGCGGAGTGAATGGGAAATTGTACCCGTTAGTGCTCTTGTTATGCATATTTAAGTGACTGTGCAAAGTGTAAGATACTGGGGAAACGAGCCTCTAATTTGCACTCAGAAGTGATTTGGAAGCCAGTACAAATGCTAGAGAAAAAAAAACCAGCTTTCTAACATCACAGGAAATTGGTGTCTCAACTATAGTTCAGGTAACAACACTTATACCTGCGATTGTCTCTCACTGTTATAAGATTCTGTTTTCTGTTGTTTAAAACACTGCTAGATTCAAATCATTAAAAGAACT